GGGGACATGGGGAACGGGCACGGCAGCGCTCTCTGGGGACCCGCAGATAACGTGTGCCCTCGCTTCAAGGCTCCTGCTGATCTGGCAAGAGCTGGGGTCACTCCCTGGTGTAGTTCATTCCCTTCAAGTGTCTGGCTCCTTGCTTGCTTTTGGCTGGGGCAGTAAAGGATCTGAGGGCACGCAACCCATAATTTTGTTAGCTCTGGGACGAAATTTGGTGACCGGTGTTAAAGGAACGCCTCTTACTCCTTTCCCTCTGAAGTTGGCGTGGTTGCCTATAAACTTTGCTAGTAAACCTAAGAAATACACCTGCTTTGCGTTTTGCCACCTCATTGATGAAAACCTCTCAACTTCAGAGGGGCCCCGGCTTTCACACGGAGTGGTGGCCCTTTGACGTGTGCCGCACCCCTGACGCGGTGCACGGGGGAGATGCCGCCCGGAGTACTCGGTAGCTCTCAGGGTCGTCAGAGACCCCTTCACCCGTAGTTGACGGCTGCGGCCGTAGGAGGACCTCAGACGTTAGTAGGGCAGGATGAGAGTGTGGTCCTGTGGTGGTGTCACTTGAGACCAGACAAGCTGTTTGCCTCCTTTCTCCTTGAGAATAGCTGAGTGTCCGCGTGGGTTACGGCCCAGAGGTCCTGATGAGAGAGAGAGAGGTAACAGGCATGGCGGTGTTTACAGCCCCGTGAGAAGGTGGAACGCGAGTCCATTCCCGCGTAGCGTTTGCAGTTGTGTGTGGAGACCAGAATTGTCCCTAACAAAGGAGGGGGAGGTAGCCTTGGGCTGGGGCTCTTCCTCACGGTGGAAGCGTGGGCAAGTCACACGCACCGAGCGGGGCCCCTGCATGTGCCCGAAGCCCAGCGAGTGACGCCCCGGTGCCTGCATCCTGCTCAGGCGCTCTGGGCAGCGAGGCTTCTCTGGAAGCGCAAGACTGTTCTGATGCCATCTGATTCGGGGTGGGAAAAAAAGGCAGGGCTGGGTCTGGGTTCCTGACAGCCAGGGGCTTCTTTAAGTAGCCAGCACGGGGTCTTCTGTTGCTGTGGATGTCTCTGTTGGCGGAGCACTGGCGGCCAGCCCCGTGACGGGCATTAGTGCGCCTCCAGCGCAGCCTCGCCTTGTCGGGGAGTACAGTTGCGCGCCTTTGAGCCTGCAGGTCTGCGTCCTCGTCCTCGATATTAATGATGCCAGCTGACCTCGGAGCCCTTCAGTCTGCCAGCTTCTGTGTGAGCGCCTCGCGGGGAGGATTTCACAGACACTTTGCAATCGCACTGCGAGAGCATCCTGTTACTTTCCCCCCTACCCCCCCATATTATGGGCAAGGAAATTGCTACACCAGGAGGTCAAGGAGCCCAAAGAACTTAGAAGCTGTGAGTGCCTGAGCTAGGATTTGAACCCCCACTGCCAGCGCCACACCCCCGACACCCCCAGGGGATCGCACACAGCACAGACCGATACACTGGGACGTTCACGCAGGAAACCGGGCGCTTGAGCGCTCAGGGCATGGACATCTGTGCAGCGGGACACCGTGAGACTGGTAGACATTTGCTGGAGCTCTGTGTCTGTGTGGATTGACCGCGTTGTTGTCCAGAACAGAGAGGAGGAAATCAGGGGTGTGGTGTAGTTCCTTTGTGGATCCACACGTAGACCTCTGGAAGGAGATTCACCGCTGGGTGTGAAGCTGCAGATGATTTTTTATAATATTTTTGTAGTCTTGGGGTTTTAAAAATCAATATATCGTTGTTACCAAAAGGTGAGGCTGTTGTCAAAAAGTAAATTCAGATGCGGGAGAAACTATTATGATAGATTTTCCAAAGATTTTGGGGAAGCTACAGGTGAAGGGTACAAGTGACTAGGTGCCACTGAGGCTTGGGAGCTAGCAGATGAGAGCTGTGCATTTTTGTTCCATGAGGAGCAGCCACAGAGTTGGGGGGCCCGGGACCTACTGTGCACCTTGCCTCGTGGGTGTCTGTGCTCTGCCGGGTCTGCAGACTGTGTGCACAGGGTTTCCTCAGCCGGGTCCAAGGACAGAGAGGGACCCTGGGCCTCTAGTTTCTTAGCTGAAGCAACACAGTATTAAGTGGTGCTCAGGACTTGCTAGCTCCACACACAGCAACCTCCTTAGCAGGTGGGAGCCGGTGGCCTTGTTCTCAGAGCGTCAGTGAAGTGGAAACAGCTTGCAGGGGCCTCTGGGTCTGTTTCTGGGAGTCTGTGTCCCGCCCTCTGCATCTGGCTTCGTCGTCCAGGAGCTTGTTTTCTTGCCCCTGAAGTGCCTGCCTTCCCCCACGGCATCTGGACACATGCTCCTAGGGGACATTTACTCCACCGTCTGTTCAGTCTGCAGGCCCCCGTGTGCACTGAGATGCCAGGGCTACTTTTGTCCTGTAGGTTTAAATTTAAAACAAGTACTTAATGGGGCACCTGAGTCTAGATTTTGGCTCAGGTCATGGCCTCAGCATGGGACCAAGCCCAGCATTGGGCTCCATGCTGAATGTGTAGCCTGCTTGGGATTCTCTCTTCCCCTCTGTCTCTCTCACTCTCTGTGTCTCTCTCTCGGGAAAAAAAAAAAAAAAAAAAAAAAAAAGAATTAAGTTCTTCCCTGCCCTGGGCCTAGCCCAGTGGGCCTCACCTACGTGTCTGCCGGAAGGTGAGGCTCGGGCCGGGAGGGGGGTGGGGGGGGCAGATAGCTGGCACGACCCTGCGGAGATGCAGAATTCCACCTAGCTCTTTATACAGAAATGCTAGAGATAGTCTCTGATGCTGTTCTCTGAAATCATAAAAATGGGATCACTGTGTGTTTGGTTTCAATAGCTACTCTGACCTACGACACTCTTCGATTTGCCGAATTTGAAGATTTCCCGGAGACCTCAGAGCCTGTGTGGATACTGGGTAGAAAATACAGCATTTCCACAGGTATTAGCCGTGGTGAGGCCTGCTGTGCTCACGGGGCTCAGTCTACAAAAAGCGTTTTGTGGTAATAATAGTTACCTGCTAAGTTTCTGTGACACGTGATCTACCAAGTTAAGGCTGTGTTTTCTTCTTTTAAATAATCCCTAGAAAAGGATGAGATCTTGTCCGACGTGGCGTCCAGACTTTGGTTTACATACAGAAAAAACTTCCCAGCCATTGGTAAGTACTCTGTCTGTTACAACCTGTGACGATACGTACGTCGTATGAGGAGGGAAACTTGACAGTTAACTTCAGGATGCTAGTTGTTTGTCACTTCGTTTTAATTGTTGTAGCAACCTGAACTAAATATAAGCCGGCTGAGGGCTCGCCCCTGGTGTGGCAGAGTCAGGGGCCAAACCCAGGACTCCTGATTCTTCTGAGGGCAGGGATTATCGGTGTGCAAGTCAAGGTTTCTTCCTGGGACCTGAGATCAGGATAATGAGTCACAACCGGCATTTAAAAATGCAGAACAGAAGGGGACACGAATTGGTGTGTTACCGTAGCGCACAGCGTGTCAATCCAGGAGGATCTAGTTTGTGTGTCTGAGTGTTGTCCCCGGGCCGTGGTGGTGACAGTTCGCTTCCTGCTGTGGGGCCAGCATGTGTGGAAGCCACTGCCCTGTATCCGACACTTTTTAAATTTTTTTTGAAGTTTATTTATTTTGAGAGGGAGGGAGGGAGGGAGACAGACAGAGGATATCCCAAGCAGGCTCCATTCTGTCAGCGCAGAGCCCAACACGGGGCTCAGTCCCATGAACCATGACCTCATGACCTGAGCCAAAGTCCGACATTTTACCAACTGAGCCACCCAGGCGCCCCCCTCACCCCCGCCCCCATTACCTTTTCCGATGTGTTCCGCACTTAGCCGTGGGAGAGCTGAGGGGCAGCGCACATACGTACGTGCCTACGTACGTAGCACGAGCGTACGTCCCACTGAGAGTGACCCTTTGTCGTCGGGACCCTGGGGGTGGACAGGTTGGGCACCAGGGTTCTCGTTTGGAGAACCTGACACTGGAGGTGGTGGGGCACCAGAAGGCCAACGGGTGGCTGGTCTCAGGCCCCTCACCCAGACGCGGTTTCCTGCGTCCCTGGAGTGAGGTGTGTGTGGCCAAGCCATGGTGCCTGTCGGGGAGTGTTGCAGAGTGCGGACCCGAGGCCTGTGCCACCACACACCACTGTCTGATGAGCCCTGTCGGCTGCGCCCTGGGATTGAGGCGGGGTGGGGGTGCCTGGCGGTGCTGGCAGGACCCCGCTGTCCTGCGGGTCTGCGGTCTGGGCACAGAAGGACAGGCCGAGAGGAGCCTTGTGCGGTTTGGTGAAGTCATCGAGAAGGACGCGGCCTGCCTGTGAGGGCCACCATGGTCTCTTTCCTGCCCTGGCTACGCGGAGAGGACTAGTTTGTCTGGGGCGCTGCGCTCTGAAAGCCCAAGAGGCTTCGTAGGAGGGGCTGTCCGAGGCTCTGAGGTGACGTGGGCGGGGACAGTGGAGCCAGCTGGGGCGACCCTGGCATCTCTGCTCCTCCAGCACCTGCCTGTGGAATTGCGGGTGGATAGGACGTACAGGTGTCTCCTGGCGTGCCAGGGCCCATCCCGGAGGCACGCAGAGCTGCTCTGCCTGGTGGCCACACCCTCTGTGCCCCGGGGCGGGCCTGCTGCCAGGGCACGGGGTTGTTGCTGACCCCCCGGTTCTGCTCCTGCCCTGCGGCTGATGCGCCCCTGCCCGCTCTCGCAGCACCTGCGTCTCTGCCCTTCTGGGGCTTGGAAAATGGCTCCTGATTCAGCTTCAGGTTTCCTAGATTACTCACGAGGCTTCCTGTCTTTTCATGTGTTCCACACACTCTTAATTCTCTGCGACTGACTTGTTCACATATTTCACCCATCTTGAGAGGATGGCGGGGTGCGTCACTGCCCACTAAATGTGCCCTTGGCACGAGCAGGCTCTAAATGGCCTGTCACCTGGGGTGCAGCTGAGGTGGCGTCCGGGCCTCCCGCCGGTGGCCTCCTGGCCCACCGGGCCCTCTGACAGCGAGGCCTGTCTGTCTGTCTGCCCTGCCAGGGGGGACCGGCCCCACCTCGGACACAGGCTGGGGCTGTATGCTGCGGTGTGGACAGATGATCTTTGCCCAGGCCCTGGTGTGCCGGCATTTAGGCCGAGGTGAGTCATGGCGCAGGGACGGCAGCGTTCTCAGCAAAGGGGACTGTGGGGTGAGGTCACCCAGAGTGATCACTGGTGGAGCAGAGACTGGGGTTCAGGGTTTTCTTGAGTGGTGACCCCCTGGGTTTCGTCAGCTCGAAAAAGTGACTGTAAAGGATACTGATGAGCGTTTGTCTTTCAAAAACTCTTTATAAAGTCACTGAAACCACGTCTGTCTTCTGCGTGGATTTGTTCCGGTGGGTTAGCTCATACGTATTTGGAAGCTTGGAGAATTTGTTAACGTCAGGAAGGTTCAGGGAAGGGTATCCTCTGTGGCTTGGGTGTTCTAGAAGCGTAAAGGCCTCTCTCTGCTATTTGGGTACCGCTGACCTCTGCGTGTCTCCGGTAGATTGGCGGTGGACGCAGCGGAAGAGGCAGCCGGACAGCTACTTCAGCGTGCTCAACGCGTTCATCGACAGAAAGGACAGTTACTACTCCATTCACCAGATAGGTGGGAGGCTGCGGATGTGCGGGGTCCCCCGAGAGCCGCTCTGCTGTGGGGTGTGCGAGGCGTGAGGCTGTATGTAGGTCACTCCGGCCCATAACCGGCGGGGCTGTGAAAGTCGGACCCTGCCCCCGAGGGTTCGTCCCGCTCTGCGCCCTTCGCGGGGTCCGAGTGCTCCTTGTGTTGATTCGTGTTCTCCTGCGGGGCAGGGGAGAGGCAGAGCTCTGAGAGACCCGGCCCTCCTGCTCCTCACCGAGGGGCTGGGGTCCTGGCTCGTAGTGAAGGGCAGCCCTGGCGTGGCCTCCGCGCCTCTCGCGAGGAAGCGTCCTGGTGTGCGTGGGGAGGGCCCGCTGGAGGCCGGGGTGGGAGCGCCCGTGCGGGCTTCCTGTGGAGCGTTGCTGCTGCCGCTTCGGGGGGGTGGGGGGGAGGGCTGCGGTGCCCGTCACTCATCCTGTCTTGTTTCCTGCAGCACAAATGGGAGTCGGCGAGGGCAAGTCCATCGGCCAGTGGTACGGGCCCAACACGGTCGCCCAGGTGCTCAAGTACGTGCCAAGCTCTATCCCTCCCGTGTCCTGGGGCGTAGTGGAGCGCGAGACTCCGCTGAGTCTCGCTTGCTGAAGGCCGTGGGGGGGTCTTCCCCTCTTCCCCTCACGGGCGGCTGCACCAAGTGGTCTCCTGTGTGGAATTTCTGTTTCCCGATAAATGAACATCTTCACCCATATGGCGCACTTTGGGTGGGGCCCGTGTGTGTCACCCGGACCACCCACTGGTGCTTTCTGAGGGTCTGGGAGGTTGACGCTGGTCTGGAGCGACGGCAGTATGGCGTGGGCACCGTGGGGCTCTGCCCCTTCCTGGGGCCCCGTGTCTGCAGCTGCAGCTTTCCCTCCACGTCCTGACTCGTGCATGTGCTGCCCACCCCCCGGGCTCTTCCCAGGCTCCTCGCTCAGCGGGTCTGAACCGGCCCTTGTCCTTCGGCCCCAAGCCCGCTCCTCCTCGTTACGGCGACGGGCTGCCAGCTCCGCCTGGCTGCCCTGGTCGCGTTTCCTGGGTTGGAGGAACCCAGATGCTGCCTTCTCTCGCACGTCCGCCTCCTAGCTGAGCCCCGAGCCCACCCGCCATCTGTGTTCTTTCCCAGCCCCCCATTTGCTCAGCCCCCACCACATGCCCTCAAGGGCCCTGGGCCCAGCCCCGCGTGCCTCGGGAGCCTCGTCTGCGGATGGTCAGTCTCCCTGCATGGTGCGCGCGCGTGGTCGGTCTGTGTGGCCCGTGTGCCTGGCCTGTTTGTGCGGTCAGCGTGTGTGGTCTGCATATGACTCTCCTGGTGTGCTCTGTGCATACGGTCTGTCTTTGTGGTCCGCGGTGCACGTGGCCCGTGTGTGCCGTGGCTATGTGGTCCACGTGAGTGTGGTGTGCTGTCTGTGTGGTGTGCGTGGTTTGCAGGTGTTCTCTGCGTGGCCTGTGTGTGTGGTCTGTGCGGTGTGCTGGTTTGCGTGGGTGCTCTCCACGTGCTCTGCGTGTCTGGACACGGGGTCTGTCCACGGGCTCTGCATGTGGACTCTCCCTGTCTCAGCTGTTCCCTCGCTCTGCGTCCCCGCTGCTGCTCTGAAGAGCTCCTTCGAGGTTGCTGTCAGTCTAGTGGTCACATCTGAAGGCCAGGTTTGGGTCCTCTGTTTACTCTGCCGTCCAGCAGGTGGCCCTCGATGCAGGTGTTCTGTCTTGGAAACCCTGGGCCGCATGGTCATGCTCTCTGGTCCCTGTCGTTGCCTCCATTGTGGCCACTTCGCCCCATCGGGGAGCACCGCAGGCCCGGCCTGGGCCCTTGGCCGCTCTCTCCCTGTCAGCGCCGGCCTCAGCTGCTATGTGCACGCAGCCGGCTCCCAGAGCCACGTGCCCAGCCTCCAGGCCCAGGTCCACATGCTTCCTCAGCATCACCCCTTAGGTGTCTGAGGGGCAGGTCAACCTAACAGCCAGAACCCAAAGCCGGCCCCCCTGCCCCCCCTCCCCAGCCTGTTCCTCTACAGGGAACGGCAGTGCTGTCCTTCCTTCCAGAATTCAGGCCAACAACTGAGATCCTGCCAGACTCTTTCTTGGCACACCCTGTCCCAGTGTGTCCAGACTCTAACCAGGGGTCACTGCTTCCCTGTCCTTACCCTGGCCCAAGCCCCGTCTTTTGCCTCCTCCTTGGTCTTCCTTTTCTGTCATTCTTGAGTCTCTGTGGAAATAGCAGTAGGTGACGCTTTCACAAAGTGCAAGTTGACCACCTGCCCCTTCTCTGCTCGGAACCGTCCTGGGGCTTCCCAGCCGAGTCCAGGGAAAGCGGTGAGCACACGCGGGGCCCTGCCTCCACTGCCCACCCTGTGCTCGCTCCCAGGCACTCTGCACCTGCCCTGGAAGTGCCCCCCACTGCTGCTCCGTGCTTCTCCACGACGCCTGCTGCCCACACGCTTCTTCGGAACGTCAGCCTCACGAGGGGCTGCTCTGTGTCTTGTGCGTCCGTGGGTTTCGGGCCCGCACCTGGCCCTCGGCAGATGTGAGAGGGAGGCAGCCAGTGGCGTGTTGCACGCGCTCCCCCGGCCTCCACTCTGGCCTCCCATTGGGAGCGGCTCTGTGTGGCTGCCCCGTGCCTTCCACGTGCGTCCCCAGACAAACCAGGTCCTCCCTGTCACCTGGGCGGCCCCACCCCGTCACCCAGCACCCAGGGTGCACTCGCCCGCCTTCCTGCTGCACCTTCGGTTGCTCTCTGGGTTTCTTCAGAATCTTGTCTTTGGCCTCGGTTCTTTTCCGCTGCTGTTCGCAGTTGTGAAACCAGATGTCTGTGGGAGGACCCGAGTGCTGGTCAGTCCGGCACTTTTGGAGCTGCGTGTGCAGGTGCTGGGAGAAGCGGGGGGCTGGACCCGCCTGGGTCGGCCACACCCCTGGTGCCTGAGGCAGGGCTTGCGCCCCAGTTCCCTTTCCGCGTGCAGCTGGGTCAGGAGGTGATGCCGCGCAGGGCTCTGGCGCGGGGACTGTGTCCGCAGGTGGAGGCTGCGGGTGATGGAGGGTGCGCTGGGCCCAGGTGGGAACAAGCGGGCCGCAGCCTCGGCCTTCCTCCCGCCTGCGGTGCTGACCATCTCGGTCGTCATCTTTCTCATCCGCAGAAACCGCTAGAGCATTTGACGCTCTTTCCTTCACCTGCCCCGCACAAGTGAGATGTCTTTGATCGTGAAGGCTTATTGGTGTGTTCTCCCTTTTTCCGTCAGGAAGCTTGCTGTCTTCGACACGTGGAGCGCCCTGGCAGTCCACGTAGCGATGGACAACACGGTGGTGATGGAGGACATCAGTAAGTGAATGGGCATGCGGGGCTGTGGCTGGTGGGCCTCGGGGGCGGCTCCCTGGCCCACGCTGGGCGCCCCCCCCCCCCCCCCCCCCCCGGCATGCAGGTCGGCGCCCCACGCGCAGGCCAGGGGACCTTTTGTTCTCTTTCAGCACACACCAGGCTTGGGGGAGGGCCTGGATTCTCTGTAGAGCTGGGTTGGGTCCCTCAGTGCCCCATGCTGTTTTGTGTCCTCGTTGCAAGTGAAGTGTTCCGGTGTGCTGGGTCAGCCCCTCGCGGGCATCCGTGCGCCGCAAGGAAAGGCAGGAATGGCTTTCTGCTGCGCCGTCTCGGGCCAGCGTGCAGCAGGAAAGGGGACGTAGCTCTGTCCCTCCCTCTGGAAGGATCCACGGGAAACCTGGAGGCGTCCAGGCATGCTGAAGTGGTAGTCCAGGAGGAAAACGGCTCCATCTGGCAGATAGCCTCTAGAGAGTGAGTTTTGAATTTGGAGTTGACATCCTCTTGTGCTACCAAGCCGACAAAACTCTTTCGAACGTCTTAGTTTTTTCCTCGGGAACGCCTTTTCCCCACAGTTTCCCAGCCCTCCCTCCCTCCGGTCTTGTTGAAGATTGTCACATAAGAAAGAGCCTTGTGAGCCAGCTGATCTGCGGGAGGAGGTCTTGTGCTGTGATGGCGGTGGGGGGCCCCCGCCACAAGCGCACCTGGGCCCGAGGCACCGCTGCTCCCCGCTGCCGACTGGCCCTTCCCCTCTTCAGCCGGGGGACAGCGTCCATGAGGTGTCGGGGGAGCCAGGGTCGGGCCTCCAGCAGGCAGCGGCCCTCTGCCCGGCCCGCCCTCCCAGCTCACCGACCCTGTGTCCCCTGAGGGCTGGCCGACCAGGGCCCCCACAGAAGGACATGTATCTTTTCCCTCTGCCTTCTCCTCGCATTCTGTTTCTAGAAATGTTTGTGACACGTTGGAAACTATGGAAACGCACAGAGAATGAGGGAAACGACACTTGATTTTCTCACTTGGAAATGGTTCCTGTTGGCGTATAGATGGCCCCTCCTAGTGTGTGTCTCGTTTCTGAGAGCGGTCCTTACGGGCGTCAACAGCGGCCTCTTCCGTCAGTGAAACGTCACAGCCATCTGTTGTCTGTTCACTTCCCGATGCACATCAGGGTTTTTTTGGCCCCGTTGTTGGGGGAACCGCTTACCTCAGGGTCTACCCAGTCAGCCTCCCAACCTGCCCTCAGACGAGCGAGGCTGGCTCCCTGGTGCGGTGCCAGGAGGGGTGAGGGACAGGCTGCTGTCCGGAACCTCCATTCCTCGGTGGGGAGGGTGCTGGCTGGCACCTGGAGGAGACTCAGCCACGTGGCTGGACGCTGGCTCCCGGCTCTCAGGGTCTCAGGTCGCCCGCGGCAGCGCTGCTGGAGACGAGGTGCAGATCCGGGGTTTGTCTGAAGACGACATGGGTCTGTTCTGGGGAGGGTTCCTAAGCGGGGTGAGTGTGGTCGCCCGGCCGTGATCAGGGCCCCGTGGTCCTCCCCTCCTGAGTCAGAAGCGCTGTATGCTGGTCACAGGGACGACTGAGGAAGGACAGCATCAGAACCCAACCCACAAGGACACTGGGGCTGAAGAAGTGCAGAGACCTGAGGGGTGAGGGGTGCGTGGAGTAGACGGAGGTGCTTCCCAATGGCTGTGCTAATGCTTTTGGTTTTAGGAGCCCCAGGGGAGGCCCCGTGGGCTGCAGCAAAGGCCTGAGGGCAGCCTCTTTGTAGTCACGGGGGCTGAGGTCGTGGGCACAGGAGGAAAAGCTCTGATTCAGCAAAGCAAGTGGTGGAGAACCAGCAGTGGCCGAGCAAGGGCCGACCTAGTTTTCAGAGCCGCTTCGGGAGTGGTCAGCCGGAAGCACCCCGGGTGTGCAGGGTCAGCCGGAAGCACCCCCAGAGCCCCTCCCCAGGGAAAGCGCGGGCTTCCCACCTTCCCTCCTCTTCAGGGGAAGTGTGCTGGGCGAGGGGAGGCCTTGCTGGTTGGGATGTCCCCACCCACCTGCCCACCCTCCTTGGGGGGCCGGCCAGGACACCCAGAGCAGCCTCTGCCCCTGCCAGCGCTTGCCGTCAGTGGGTTTAGACCCTCGTGAACAAGCACACAGTGGGAAGTCACTGGATCTGGGGAATTACAGATTGACAGAGACAATCTGGTGTTGCGCACGAATGAAGGAAAACTAAACTCGAGCACACCGGAGAAAGCATGTGGCGGAAAGACCCTGGTGGCAGAGATAAAACAGAGGTGGCTGTGGATAGAATTTTCAGGAGGCAAGGACAGGTGGCCGTGAAGGAACGGGAGGAAAGCTTCCCCGCTCCAGAGCAGGTGTTATCTGTAGAACCGGAGACCTCCGACTTTTTAACCAAGAGTTGTTCAGATATGCTTGTTCCTGGTGACACTTCCAAGCTGCAGAGATAAAAGAGACACTTTTATAAGCACCCGATTGACAATGATAATAAGCTGCCTTTGAAGAAGGGTGATCCTACTGGCCTGGCTGTCTCTCTTCTGCCACAGGAGATGCTGGCGGAGACAGGTCAGCATCCCGAGGCAGTGGCCTGGCTTGTGAGCTGGGGGCCCAGGCGGCGTGCGTGCAGCTGTTGTCACTGATAGAAACACAGGGGGCTTTTACATGGTAAGGGTGTTAGAGCAGCACGACAGAATTGCCAGTGGGTGCCTGGTACAAACGAAAACCCGTTGTTTGTTAACAGCAGGACGTTTGCAGTGTTTGGGCCACATGCAGCCTTGGTGGGTCCCCAGAGTGCAGCAGTGACAGGCCCTGCTCCCGTCCTCTCTTGAGCCCATCCACGTGAGATTCTGTGCTAGTGATGAAGATGCAGTGAACCAGGAAAGTGTCACAGAACAGTAAACAGACTAGGTGACAGGTTGAATGTACGGAACGTGGAGTCACGGAGCCGCCCGATCACACCGTAAGAGAGGTTAGCGGATACACATTGAACTCTAGATTCTGGCCACAGAACATACCTTTTTGAAGTGTCCGTGTGTATAAACTAATGAAGACTAAATAGAAGACACGATACTACCTAGAAATTTGAAACCGGCCTTAGCTTTTGGATCAAAAGAAGTGAAGTTTACAGGCTCCGTATCAGAATCTGATGCATTCTAAACTCAGGAAGAGCCTGTATCTGCAGTACTGCTTGCCAGATACTAAAAAGTGAAAACACACGAAGCAAGCATATACTCAAGAAGTTAGGGAAAGAACAACAAAATTAGCTGAAGAAATCCAGGAAGAGTGGTATTCGTAAAGACCAATTGATGATTAATGATTTAAAAGAAGGAATTGTAGGGGCGCCTGGGTGGCGCAGTCGGTTAAGCGTCCGACTTCAGCCAGGTCACGATCTCGCGATCCGTGAGTTCGAGCCCCGCGTCAGGCTCTGGGCTGATGGCTCAGAGCCTGGAGCCTGTTTCCGATTCTGTGTCTCCCTCTCTCTCTGCCCTCCCCCGTTCATGCTCTGTCTCTCTCTGTCCCAAAAATAAATAAACGTTGAAAAAAAATTTAAAAAAA